ACTCTCTGAAGTGAGTGCATGCGCGTGTGTCAGTGCGCACCCTCACTTAGAAGAGAGGGGAGACGGTCCATCTATTTCACTCCAGCGGCAACCCTATATCTAAGACACACACAGACATTCAGACAGACACACACCACTCGGGAGATGACAGTTGTCTCTCTGAGAAGCGAAGTTAATCCCCGCTGGGATAGCAGGGGAGAGGAGAGAAGGAGAGACTGAAAATACTCCACCAAATAAACTGCAGGGGAGAAAGGGGGGAAAAATGCCTTTAAATTCTCAGTCACGTCCGTTTGTTTCATATTTTCAATCAATTCCATTTGATGCAGAGAGAGATGTAACGCGAAGCTCCAGAAAGGAAAGCATCTTCTGACGACCACACAGCGCGCGCGCACACACACACACACACACACACAGTGTCGTCCGTCTGAAGTAGTGAATGGGTGCTGAATTCAAAGAGCGGTCACAACAAAGCGTCGTCACAGGAATGAGAGAGAGGAAGGCAGTTGCACAAGAATGCGATAACTGAAAGACTAGTTTAGTCTCTGTGCACTTTTGACACTGTTGCTTTTGCCGTAAATATCCTTCCGCTGTTTGGCCAGCGTGTATTTAACAAATCCATTTTGAAGCTGTTTGTTGTGCCGCTGCCTGATAATGTCATCATCGTGCAAAGCAGTAGTTTTACAGAGAAATTCTGACCCAGATGCTTCTTTTTTTTTTTTTTTTTTTTTTTTCAGTACGTTTGCCCATTCATCCAAAAAAAACGACAGCTTTATCGCACTCGTCTATCACCAGCCTGCCACCCACTTACATCAGCCCCTCAAAAAGCACGTTAACAGCAGGGTGAAAATTTCAAACCGACTCGCTCGTCATTACTGATGATTGATGATGCTGATACGCAGCACTGATGATAGATGGCAGCAGCAGGATGAATTCTTAAGGGCACAGATGGATTTTTGTCTGGCTGTGTACAAAGCAAGTACCTCCTGTCTCATTGGCCAGCCCTTTCCTCCTTCAGATACACATTGCCCTTTAATATGCTGCAAACAAAGCAACAAAAAGACTACACAACCAAACAATACAGCTTCATAATTTTAATTCCTGAAAACTTTGAATTTGTTTTTTGCATCTGAAATATCAGCTGTTAATATGTTGACATATAATAAAAAAAATGTATGTGGATGTAAATGATCTATTATAAAAGCGCAGACTGTCATTGAATGTTCCCAGATTCACTCGCCCAAAATGGTGTTAGCATATGTTTATGTGATTCCTGTCACTCGGTTGAGTGAACATGATTTATTGAGATACAGAATTTGAATAAAAGCGTTTTGGCGATTAGACCCGAATAAACCAGCAGCAGCAGAACGGAGACCCAGCAATGACAGGAATTAGGACAGGACCCCCCCATTGTGTTTATGCTGGTGCTGGTGAAGATGGAGACTTGGGTTATGGCTCAGAGATGCCGGGGAGAGATGGATGGGGAGGAGGCGGGTTGCACAAATGCGAGTCTGAAAGGTGGAATGACAGAAGAGCACTGAGATTTAAAGGCTGATTGAAAAATGGCTGGATGAGAGTAATGATGTCAGCACTGAGTTCTGACAGCGTGGGAAAGAGGAAGTGATGTAAAAAAAAATTCTAGCAGGCAGATGAGTGATTACAGATCTTACTTCTTGAACTTATGCATTAACTTTGTTGCGAAGCCATGTTTATGTCGGTGTCTGGGAGAAGATGCTTTCAGCTGCTCTCTCGCCACGACGGGTCACCGAGGCGGGTAGCTCCACATGATTGATGTGGAAGTTTTATGCCGTATCCTCTTCTAAAGAGAACTTTTGTCTCCGGCTGAGATGCTAAATGCTTTAAAAAAAATTTTTTTTAAAACCCTAACCAGTTTGTTTTCCAGGCGCGGGTGTTGGCCACCATCGGTGTGACCCGCGGACTCGGTGACCACGACCTCAAAGTTCATGACTCCAACATCTTCATCAAGCCGTTCCTGTCCTGTTGCCCTGAGGTAAAGTGACCAGCTGACACACTAAGACATAACGCAAAATGAAAACAGAGCGTTTATATTTTGCTACATTCCTCTTAATTAATCTTTGTAGACAGATAAAGCGTTTCATCTTTTAGAAGCAAAATACAAAGCCTTTCCCTCCAATCATTGCAGCTGTGAGGAAGTGCTCGACAGCTCTCTTTTCCCTGCAACGCTTTGCACACAGGTACATTTTGCCAGTTTGGGAAAAAAAATTCTGCAAGGGGATAACACGTATTTTCACCAGTGTGTTAATTATTATCTTGAGCATTCGCTACTCACCATGTTTGGTGGATGCTTATCTTTGGTCAAACAGAATTTGACTGCTTTGGGGCTTTCAGTGTGTCTCTGTGAGGTGGGTGGAAACGCTTTCGTGGACATCTGAGCAGACGTTGGATTAGCAGCCATTGCGTTGTTTTTCTGGAACTTAGTGCAATAATTATACTGCCGTCTGCGGTGTGTTTTCAGGCGGCTGATTTGTGGTGTAGACACAACTTTGCAAGGCTCTTAGCATGTGATTTGTTCTTAGTTTCCAAACATCAGAGGATGAGCCAGCTCTTCGCCTTCTGCTGTCCGAGACTTTTTAGACGGCCTATTATCGGCTGTTTAGCTGGGGGTTTTTTTAACATAGTTTTATTACATCCAGTGCACAGTGCAGGGAACTGCTATGATTGTTCCTTTATTTATGTATTTATTTTTTGAAATGCAGTTTTTAAAAAGTGAAAACATATTTAATAATTCACGTTCAATTTTCAAGCTAAAAAACAATAAAAAATAAATAAACAATGAAAGGAACACTTCACGCTTGATGATTTAAAAAAAGTAAAAAAGAAATTTCCACCTATAGCCACCCCTGTAATGGTATGTAATTTCATGTAAACTGCTGTTGTTCCTCTGTACATGACTAATCTTCAGTTTCTCTTCACCGGTTCCTCCTCCTTGCGATCATTTCAATTTCTTGAACTATTGAAGCTGCTGGCAGAAAATCTGTGAAAGCATATGGCAATGTGTGAATTGCCCATGTCAGAGTAAAATAAAAAAACAACAACATTTTGAGTGGTTTTTATGTTTTCATCTTCATCTTGGATTTATGAAGACTATAAGGATTTATGAAGTCAGCTTTGTAAATTAGCTTTTTACAGCTTCTTGCAAACAAGTCTGACATATAGCATGTGGCTTTTGTCCAGGCGGATACTGAAAGAATAAAAAGCATAATCTGCATCCTGCACTGTAATTATATAAACTCTGCCTGCAGTCCTGGCAAATCAGCTGATCAGTGCCAGCCTATATGAACTTGATAGCTGGTAGTCTTTTATGCATACTCTAACAAATGGTCCTGCATGCAGCAACTACTGTCTCTGCAAAGCACATCGCACCCCATCTCCTTCATTTAATGCTATTTACAATATTTTAGATGCCACGTCAGTTGTCTTTTGGTTTTTCCATGTATGTGCATGAAAAACTCAGGAGCAGTCATGAAACGAAATATAAGTTAGTGCAGAAGAAATAAGTCAGTCAGTTGGCTTAACCTACTTCTGCCTCGGTCATATCTGCACTGCAGTCACTAGAGATGCAATTTTCTGCTTCTCTGTCTGGAAAAAAAAAAAGTCCTCTGCTGCTGGAGAACTTGAGCTCACCTGTCTGTCTGGCGCTGGTTTCAAACCGCTTTCATCTCCTGATGCAGTTTGTCTTATAGAGTTTTGCATTTTTCCTCCCCGAGCGCTCTGCTTGATCTTTAATTCATTAATTCCCGGGGTTCATACCAGGTTCACATGGAAGTCTTAACTCCTCTCAGCACTCGGAGCCTCTGTCTGGATCTCTCCCTCACGACTCTCTCACCTCTCCACAAAGCCTCTCAGGGGTATCTCGAGATGTTCTCTGTAAAGCAAGAAACGGCATTACATTCATTAAGTCGTAGAAGCGTCAGGCGTCATTGTGTGTAAAGTGTTGGACAGAAAAGATTTCATCATTTCATCTGTCGTAGTCATAGTATACCAGCCTTAATTAAAATTGCAGTTTTGTTTCACTGTTTTGTAATTACATAAATGTGTAAAAGCCAATTAGCAAAACTGGAAAGGGGAAAAAACTACAAGCAAGATTTTCAAAAAGATGATAATAGAATCTCTTCTTTATTAATGGATGTGTTGTGTATTATTTTGAATTACAGGGCAGATGGAAATTAATGGTTTACTCTGACTCATTTCGTGGGGTTTTTTTCTGCTTTTTTTCCCCTGCTGATGAATACATAAATGATTCTAGAAAATAGTTGAATATTTTCTGCACTTTAAAGCCACAGTGATGAGATCCAGCAGTGCAGATTCTTCCTCTATTCTTTTTTATGTTTTTCACGTCAATTTGAAATGAGTAGTGAATAAGGCAGGAGGGTGAAGCAATCCTGTGTTTCAGCAGTGAACACAAGAGCAAAGTAACAACAAAGGTTGATGTGTGCAGTCAGACCAGGCAGTCGATTCAAACAGGGTGGTGGTTGGGGGTACTGAGTACTATAAGTTTCTGTATAATAAGGCATCTATAAATTGCTATTGGCAAAGCCCCAAATTGCTTCACAAAAATAAAAAATGCAAACAAAAGAACTACTTTTTTTTATTTAAAAAAAAAAAAAAAAGAACAATGAGAAACCACAGCTAAATATTTTTAAAAGAATCTCAATAAAAGACCTAAGATGTTGCCAGATGATGCAAGTCTGGTCACTTGATCTTACGAGCTGACAGCTATGGATATCAACCATTCAAGCATCTCAGAGAGCGCCGGTTTAACATGAAGGGGTCATGGGTCTTATGGTACGGGGCTATTCAATGCTAACTGATGAGCAGAGTTTTAAAATAATGTGAAAAATAATACTTGGCCAATGTGATTTTGGACATAGCAGAGTGATATGTACAGTATGTATAGCTAGCTGTAGCTAACAGTCATCAAAGCGGGAGCAAATAATTTCCTGTATGGCCTTATGTACAATGGATGAAAGAAACAATGTCATTTTGGATTGTATTAAAATCCATTTATTTATTATAAAAGCATCAGAACACTTACAATTACTTAATGGATTTGGTCATGAACCAACTCCACTATTGAGCTGGCAACATCAGGCTTTTCTTCCATGCTTTAGGACTAAGAGTATAAAAGCAGTCTTGGGGTCACTGGACTAAAAAGAAAAGTATAACTTAAGAAAATGTAGGTTAGAACAGTCCATGTGAGAAAACGCAAACTGCAATTAACAATGGACCAAGGATCGAGCCTTGAGGAACACCACAACTAAAATCGGTAACAGTGAAATGTTGCCGTGGGGAACACTGAATTTGAAATGTATGAATGTTAAAGATCTAGAGCACTTCCCTTAGAACCAACCCCCCTTTTGTATGCAATGCAGAAGAATGGAATGATTGCGTAAAACCTATTAAAAAGGTCATTTGATACCCTCGGTAGAGCTTTCTCTTTGCTATGATGAGCTTTAAAAAAAACATCCATATTACTACCGATAAAAGGGATCAGTTGAGTTGAACTGATGGCCCTTTTGTTGTTTATCATGCAGGTGAAGGTGTATAACCTGATGCATTACGAACACGGAGCTGATGATGTGCTTGTGATGGGAACTGATGGCCTCTGGGATGTCCTTTCCAACCAGGAGGTGGCTGAAGCCGTCACCACCTTTCTAGCTAACTGCGACCCTGACGACTTACACAGGTTGGAACTTTCCTTTGTTTTATTTCCTTTGTCTAGTTATTTCGTTTTTGCTACATAAATAAATAGGAATTTTGTAAATTGTGCCTCTGTGTTGTGTATTTTATTCAGAATTACATCCTTCTTTTCAGCACCATGCGCTGTTAGACTATAGAGTTTGTTTCAAGAGAGTGCCATTAAATTAAATGAGCTACAGCGTATCACAATATTAAAGCAAGGGCTTCATTGCTGTGTCTTCTATTGGCCAGGTACACAATGGCAGCACAGGATTTGGTGATGCGAGCACGAGGTGTTCTGAGAGACAGAGGCTGGAGGATCACCAATGAGCGCCTGGGCTCCGGAGACGACATCTCAGTCTTCATCATACCTCTCATGTACGGCAACCGCCAGCCCTGAGGAGCATTCCACCGATGCTATGGTTCAGTGATGAGAAAGGCCTGTAGACTCAGCAGGATTGATTAGTCCTGAACTCAGAGTCCCCCTTTTAGTTTTCTTATTTATTTGCTTCCTTAGAAGAAGGTGGCACATTAATTTGTTGGTGCTTCATTTCTCTACGGGAGTTCAGGATTGATCAGCTCAGGGGAACTACAGTCAGCATCGCCATGTTAGTTTATTAAGACTCCACAGTCGTGAAAGCTTAAACCGTAGATAATTTTAAGTCACTAAATCATGTCATGAATAAACAATGTCAAGAAATAATTTGCCTGGCAAAACTCAAATAAGCAAATGCTTTTCTGAAGTGAAGAAGAGCTTTCTCGCTCTTTCCCTCCCTCCTCTTGTGCTAAACAATTCTGGGCTCCTCCTCCTACTATTCCCCTTTCTTTAGTTGATCCTTCCTTCTCTTGTAGGCTATTGTATATTTAACTTGTTTATATATATTTAAAAAAAAAAAAAAAGAATACCTCCTTTGTCTTGTGAAAATGGACCAAGCTGACATGTCAGCTGCATTTTCTGTTTTGCCACAGTGTGGCTTTAAAGGACTCACTTGCTGAAGAACTGTTTCAAGTTTGCCGAAGAAATTAAAGAAGTGTCGATATGGGCACAGAACAAGAGGTTATCCACATTTCCCAAAAAGTCATTAAAGGATCTTAGCCTTTATCAATCGAAAGTTGAGACAGAAGGACTGATGTGGTTTATGAACAAACAAACACATCTGCACAGTCATTTAATCCAGTAACAAGTCGCCATGTTCTACTAAACGTTTTATTAAATAATTTTATTTTAATTATATTCTTAGATATTTAGGCTTTTGTTGTTCTAGCTATTCTCTATCAATTAAATATGAAGCTAAAATCATAGTTCAGCTTAACGAAAGATAAGAAATATTTTGGGTGGGGACCGTGGCACAACCAAACTGATTGTGACCCTATGTAATAAGTTAATGATCTTGTTACCTTTAAAATTGTTGCTCTGAGGATGGGGACAACATCTGTGACCGCTAGCAATCAGCTGTTTTATTGACTTTGAATCATCAAGATAGTGATGAACCACTAATAAGAAGTGTTCAGTCTGCCATCAGATTGAATTGGTGCAAGTTGGGAATTTTGTGCGCAGTCATTGATAAAACCTGTTGCAAATTTGTTGCTGTCAACATGCAACATTTACATGAACTACTTACATTCAGAAAACCTCCATAAATAGCGGTGCAGTTGCTGCAGGACAGCGATGTAACTGCAAAATAACATAGCAGGTTTACCTCTATGGTGCTTGCCTCTGAGTGGTCAATTGGTTGCCGCAACTTCTTACCAGGCTACTATCCATCTTTTTTTTTTCTCTCCTAGTTGCAGTGAGGTTGCGGTCCTATTTTTACTCTAGCGTGGCTAAGCCATAAGTCATAAGTGGTTTCTATCTACTGATTTGGAAAATAAATATTTTTTAATATAATTTAAAATCCTTACATTTTTAAATTTGGGATTTGGTTTGGCAAATCTCTTGAAGTTATAAATAACTGTCTTAACGTGAGATTAAATGACTTGTACAACAGTGTATTTGCACTTTAGGCCAACCCATATAACTCACTGAAGACCCATGGTACGATGAAGAAGCAAATATTCCCTGCAGCAGGGAGGATTGATATAATTCATAGCTGTAGTTTTAAAAAGAAAAATCATGAAGTACAATCAAGGTTGAATCTGAAAGCTTTTGTTTTATTGTTTTGTTTTTGCATGTTTCTTGCTTTAGGTGCTTCATCAGAATGCAGATGATGTTGCCTTCAGGGGGACGGGTTTGGGTAAAATGTGTTACCGTGAGTGGATGTAGTGGACTGTGTGTCAGTGCATGCAGTAGCATAATGTAGGCCTGGGATTATGAGCAATGGTGCAATGGTTTGAATTATTGTTGAATTTATATAGACTGAATGAGAACTGGTAATAATGTTATTAATGTGCAACGATCATGCATATATTATTGATTATATATTATTCCAGACATTTGGCATAAGACCCAAAGGATGAGAGCAGCCACAAAGAAAGGGAACAAGATGAAACTATACCAATGGCTATACATGAAACCAAATCATTTTCTCTTTTTTCCATATTTGTTTCATATTTTTTAGTTTTAGTTTTAGGAAGTTGCAGAAGATATGAAGTAGTTTGTGCTTCAGAAACTTTTTAATCTCCAAATTTTTATTTGTATGTAGAAAATTGAAATTTTGAGATACATAACTTGAAATTTAGAATAATTTTGATGGAATTTTGACTTGCAGATAGGGGGGGGAAGTGGTGGAAAAAACTGACACGTTTCACTCCAAGCTGTTGAGGCGAGCAAACAAATATGTTTTAGAAGAAAAATGTGTTTTGAAAAATTAAACATCACCATAGTTGATGTATGGGGTTTTGGAATTAAACCGGTGTATTTAAAAGTTGACTGCAAAGTTGGAATATGTAATAAGAGGGTGACAACTATAAAGAAGTCAATTGTTAATAAGTAATGTCCTGAATGATGTCAGATAATTGAGCTGGATGAGAAGAATATTGGTTATTCCTGTGTGTATGGTGCATATGAAACTACAGCTAGCAGCTATCTAGCTTAATTTAGCACTGAGACTAGAAAATCAAATACTGCTGATCTTTACTGATACTATATATTATTATTTTGATCTGTAAAAAAGTCAGAGTATAAAAATTCCAGTTTTGCTGTGTTCTTTTTCTTTTTCTTTTTTTTTGCATATTAAAAGTTGAGGTCTGTCTTTACACGTCAATTTCTGGGCTAGCTGTTTCTATGCTACACTAAGCTAAGTTAAGCTAATAGTCTCCTAGCTGTATCGTTTAGATTTACTCGTAGGAACTGAGTGTAGTATTGAAACATCACACTTCATTCTTCCTAAGACTACATACATGCAAATTACTCAAAATTATTTTGTGTCACCATACATGTACACATGCTATTTGTCATGCTATCTTGCACAGTGTTTGCAGCTGACAACAATAATCTACCTTTTCCTCCAAGAAGCAGTCATTGATGTTTACCTGAACTTTGCATGGTGCATTTTCCCCTCTTATACATTCCATTAACGAAATATTCCAATGTTAAATAATGTATTAGAATATTTTCCTTCGGTTAGGTGTTTAGCATTTGTTAATTAATGAAAAACCTTTCTAATAAGTGGTTATTTTCCCTTCATACTTTACTTTTCCATGTAAATGTTTTTGATGCTACCAGATCTTCAGCATCTGACGTGTGCATCAGTATGTGTTTTGAATGTTCATCCTTCTACCTGTGCTTTAGGCTCTTTATTTTTGTCATTAAGCCTTTTTCTCTTAAACGAATGTGGAAACATGAGTATATATTTTATTTTTCTCATCCTATTGTGCCACCCAACTACTGCACATCAACTCAGGTTCAACTGTCATGTGTCGATAACGACCTGTTGAGAGTGGTTTTCTAAAGACAGGAAGTGCTCTGTGATGGTCTTGGTTCCACTGCATTTGTAAATATGTGGGAGAGCATTGGTGTGTACAGGAAGCTTTTGATCAGCTTAGTCCCTTCAGTCAACTGTAGGTCTTGCTTTCTGAATTTGCTGTATTGTGAACCTTGTCATTGCTGTTGTTTTTTTCTACCTAAGACTACTAATGGTTTTAGAAAGATGCAAAGAGCTGATTTCTTTTTTCTGTAGCAAAGAGGAATTTTGAAGCCCAGTGGGAAACCGTTTTAAGTGACCATTGTGCTACCCTCAAACTCTGTTTGTGAATGTGAACTGCACATTTTATATAACGTGAAAATAACTTATGAGGTCAAAAAGAAATATTTTTAATGTTTCCTTGTGCAACATTTGGACTTTTGGGGGGGAGTGATGTTTACCTGCAGTGTTTCTTTTCCAGAAATAAAAAAAGAGACAATAAATGTTGAAGATCAATTTAAAGTTGTTGTTTGTCTCACTAAAAAAAGGAGACAGAAAAGGAGTCAAATGGAGCTGTGCTCAACATTCATGTGAACAGAATCGATAGTTTTCCAAACCTTTGCACTCTCAGTTCAAATTAATCTCAACGAGCAAGAAACAAAAGAGAGTCCAGAGGAGCTAATCAGTGTTGTTGCTGTTTATATTCCCTTGGTTCTGCTTGTGGGAGAAACTAACAAACACGGTCAACTGGACACTAAAGGACTAGTTTGGCTCTGAGAGCAGACAGCGGAGGGATTCATTAGAGGAAATACAGACTACTCACTGAATGTCAAACATTTTGCCGGAAACGCTAAACAAGATGAGACATTTTTGTTTTATTTATTTATTTTTACAGCGAACCGTAAGTGCAATGATTGTGCACAATCATTCAGACACAATTCATAATGTTGATGAGGTAAATATGGGTAAAGGCCATTAGAACAAACTGATTTCCTGTGTGACCACAAAGGAAATGTGGAAAAAAATGGATGAATGACCTCACTATTCATATACTGGTAAGTGGTTTATTTAATACTGTCACCATTGGCAATGTTTGATGACTGCCTAAGTGAAAACTAAAAACCGCTGCTAATTCTCTACAAAACATATATACGCTTTATTCTTCTCTGTTGCTTCCAGCTGCCTGTCGAATAATCTTGTAGTAAAAGGTTTGGCCTAATAAGCATGTGCTTCAGCCAGTATCTTTTTGATTAGCCTTTTCTAGCACCTTGATAAAATTGTACCTTGAAGAATGGAGACAAAATTGGGTCCAAGCTTTTACCAGCAAAGTGTAACTAATAAAGTGTCCAGTGAGTGTACCATGAACCATGGCACACATCAGCTTCATTCTAAACTAATTTACAATGCATGTCACTAGGTGACCCTTTAAAATACATAAAAATCCTTTCATTCGTTAAAAAAAATTTGAGAAAATATATTCTTTTTAAAGTTCTCTCATACATGTACTGTCACAGGGATGGATGTGCATATAAAACAGGGCTAACAATTTATTTAATGAACTCGGCCTATGTACAGATATTTGTTCATCTCTAGCTCTCGTACACAGTGTGTATTTTGTCCTATCTCACTCCCAACACCACAAGCTGATGAATGCAGACGGCTGCCAGAGGTTTCTTCCTGTCAAGTGGGAGTTCCTTTCCACTGTCACCAAGTGCTTGCTGTTAAGGGATCGTTTGATTGATGGTTTTCTATGTATTATTTTAGGGTCTTTACCTTACAATATAGAGCACCTTGAAGAGACTGCTGTTGTGATTTGATGCTATGTGACTAAAACTGAATTGAACTGAATCCTTGTCAGCCAGAGGCTCAGGCAGAGTGCTCTTAACACTTGGTTTCATTTTTCTTTGTTGGCCATCCCTCTGTGTCAGTTTAAGCAGACATCCACAATAAGCCCCACCCACCTGCTATTTAACCTTCTGTTTATAGGGGCAGCCAATCAAAAAACTGGGTTTCAATAGTTTCAACCATTTCACACATTGAATGAACCGGTAAGGTCAAATAAAGGGGGTTCCAAACAGCTAGCCCCTAAAAATAATTGTCACACAGCTCCCTAAATACTGTTTCACAGTTCAAACATTGAGTCAAGCACTACACCAATTTCAAAGCATGCCTTCACAGCACACATTCTGATTTGCCACAATAGGAAATGTCGATGATGTGTGTTGATGACAGCTGCACTTGAAGGTTGTCCTGCTTTAGTGAATGCTTCTTAATTGTAGACATGGGCGGACTGATCCAAATAGCCACAGTATCGATACCAACACCGGTATCGGTGGATTGGATTGATACTATTTTTCTATCCTCTAAGTTTAGTATGTAGCCCACTTCATTAAATTACTTTTTTAGCAATAATAAAAGAAAATACCTCAAACGCACACTATGAAAATTCTTTGCGTTGACTGTCACATCCATTTTATTTAGCGCCTACAGCACATTTAAACAGAAGCTGCCCCCCCCCCCCCCAAAAAAAATAAATGTTTTAAAATATATGAAGAGCAGAAATACATTTTATTTGAGAGCGCCTTTTTAAAACCCAAGGTCACCTTACAAAGAGAAGAAAGATATAAATAAAACAGTAGATTATTATAAAATACAAAAAATAAACAATTTTATTTTTTTAAAGGTAAGATCTGTATTAAAGCGAGCAAGCCAGTTTAAACAAGTATGCTTTAAGCTGTGACTTAAATAAGGGAAGGGAATCTATATTTCTTATGACTGGAGGAAGTGAATTCCAGAGCAGAGGAGCAGTGCGACTGAACACTCTGTTCCCCGTAGTGACAAGACGAGCAGAAAGAACAAGATGAATGGCAGATGAAGATCTGAGAGAGCAGGAAGCAGTGGTAATATGAAGCAGATCGCACAGATAAGGAGGGGCAAGGTTATGGATGCACTTAAATGTGAGAACTAAAATTTTAAAGTTTATCCTAGCTTCTATGGGCAACCAGTGAAGCTGATGAAGAATTGGGGTTATATGTTCTCTTAAGGGAGTACGAGTATCAGCACTGGTATCGGCAAAATTGGCCCTATATCTACTTTGCATTGGAGCTATAACACAATTTATAATATGGTACAGCACTAGGTTACCATAAATGCTTGCTAAGACACTTAATGGGACTGGCATCTTTAATTCCATCTTTGCTTTAACACCCCACCCCCGTGAGAAATAAGAATGTTTAAGCAGAACATTAATTATAACAAGATTTGGAATCAGATATACACAAATGCACGTGATGCAAGCTTTGGAAAAAATACTTTATTTCAAGAAATGTTAACATTTATATCACACACAAGTATTTGAATTTTCTTGAAAGCATGCGTTTTCTTTTTCTTTATTCCATCACTTCTTTTTCTGAACGATGTAAAGTGGGGTTTAGGCTTTTATGTCGATCCGGTTGGCTCCCTCGTTGCAAGTCACCAGCGCCGGCAAGGCAGTAGATTGCGCAGTCATCTCCGCAAGGGGTAATATGACAACCCGACCAACAGCACAAACTACTACCTCAGCCAGAACTTGGCACCAGGGATGCGCTTTTCTGTGGAAAATCTCTTGGTTCCAGATTTAATCAGACTATCAGTTTTATTGGTGTCCCCGTGCGTAAAAGCGCACGGAAAATGGCGCACGCCTAAAACGGGGCCGCAATAAAGCGAGACAAAACCCCACCCATAGTAGGAAAGGAGGGGAAAAAAACACCTCCCGTACATTTCCCATATCTCCTGCACACACGCTCTCCTCGGTTGACCTCGGTGGTAAGAAAAAGAGCAAATAGAGAGGGAAAAATGTGGCAGG